CTGAAGATGTAGGCCTGGATGCTCATATGTGAAGACCAAAGCACGTAGCCCGTCGGGGAAATTTCACGTCAGGCAGTAAAAGCGACGACTGATCCTGGCAGTTATCCCAGTCGCCTGCTATACATTACAGACAAGAACTCCGAACTCACATTTTTGGTGGACACAGGTTCAGAAGTCAGTGTTATTCCACGGTCTACAAAACAACGCTATACTCCAGCCACCAGGATCTCCCTCGAAGCAGCTAATAATACTCAAATACGGGTCTATGGACAAAAGTTCCTTAATCTGGACCTAGGCATCTGTCGAGAGTTCCCGTTTACCATCTATATTGCGGACGTTCAACAGCCCATTATTGGTGCCGATTTCCTCTCAAGATTCCAGTTATTAGTCGATCTCAAAGACAACGCTCTAGTGGACAATCTTACATCCATGCGCGTGACCGGCTCGAAACGTCCCTTAGGATCTGTCGGTTTGAACGGGCTCTTCCCGGTAGATAATTGCTACACGAACATCCTATCGGAATGTCCCTCCATCTTTCGTTCGCAATCAGAGATTTCGGGGACCAAGCATAGTGTCCAGCATCATATTACCACAAAAGGGCAACCTGTTTTCGTTAGATCCCGACGCCTACATCCCGATAAACTACGGGCGGCAAAGCAAGAATTTCAACACATGGTTACCTTAGGAATCGTTAGACCTTCAAACAGCCCATGGGCTTCCCCATTGCACATGGTCGCGAAGAAAAACGGTGACTGGAGGCCATGTGGAGACTACCGGGCACTTAACCGTATTACCCTGCCAGACAGGTACCCCATACCTCACATCTATGATTTTTCCTTACAACTGCACGGAAAAGTCATTTTCTCCAAGCTCGATCTAGTTCGAGCCTATCATCAGATTCCAGTGGCCCCAGAAGATATCGCGAAGACGGCTATAATTACCCCATTCGGCCTGTTCGAATACTTACATATGCCTTTCGGTTTGCGCAATGCCGTGCAGTCTTTCCAACGATTCATGGATCAAGTCTTCTGTGGGTTAGATTCCGTTTACGTCTATATCGACGACGTGCTCATCACCAGCTCCAACCCAGAGGAGCACAGGCAACTTCTGCGCCAGGTGTTCGAACGTCTACAGGAGTACGGGATCACGGTGAACCCCGAGAAGTGCAAATTCGGCCAGGACGAAATTGAATTCCTAGGCCACCTCATCAATGCGCGCGGAATCGTTCCCTTACCTGAGAAGACACAATCCATCCTGGGTTACCCAACGCCCCAGTCAGTGAAGAGCCTCCTTCGTTTCTCGGGGATTGTGAATTATTACGGAAGATTCATTCTCAACTGCGCTCAAGTACTCCAGCCCCTCACGGATTTGCTGAAAGGCAACCCAAAGCACTTCCGGGCGACACTAGAGGCTGAGTCCGTGTTCACGGAAGTGAAACAATTGCTCTCCAGGGCAACTACCCTAAGTCACCTCGACACCTCCAGCGAGACACGAATCGTTTTGAAGACAGATGCATCTCAAGTAGCCGTCGGCGCGGTTCTGCAACAAGTGGTTAGAGGTGAGACCCAGTCGCTCTCCTTCTTCTCCAGGAAGCTTACCGCTCCTGAGACTCGTTATGGCACGTTCGGTAAGGAGTTACTCGCTATCTACCCAGCAGTCAAACACTTCCGCCACATACTGGAAGGCCGTCAGTTTACTATATTTACTGACCACAAGCCCCTAATTTAGGCTTTTCATGCCAACTCAGATCACCACTGCCCCAGAGAAACTCGTCGTTTGGATTTCGTCTTGCAATTCACAAATGATATTCGTCATATTGACGGCGCGAGTAACGTGGTTGCCGACGCGATGTCTCGCATGGGGTTGAATCAAATAGGGGTGCCCTCTCTCGATTTGCAAGTCCTGGCCACCGAACAAAAGTCGGATCCAGATTTCACCGAAATCACATCCAACCCTTCGTTACGCTTCGAATGTTTACCTCTACCAGGCTCTGATACACGGATCCATTGCGACGTTTTAACCGGCAAGCCGAGACCATTTGTCCCGCAAGCATATCGCCGGAAGATTTTTGACCATTTCCACGGTCTGTCGCATCCGAGCATTCGTTCCACAACGAAGTTGATCATCGACCGTTTTGTTTGGAAAAAAATCCGACAGGGCGTTCGTCATTGGGCCAAACATTGTCTCGCTTGTCAGGCCATCAAGGTTCAAAAACATTCCCGCAGCCCGCTCTCCGCTTTCCCCTTCCCGATGCCCGTTTTTACCACATACGTATCGATATTGTGGGTCCGCTGCCACCTTCGAATTCCTATACACATATCCTAACCTGTATCGACCGTTTCACACGTTGACCAATCGCAGTCCCCTTATGCGACACTTCTGCTACGACGGTGTCGAAGACACAAATGGATTCGTGGATATCCATTTTCGGAGTTTCTGTCGTAATAACTACCGACAGGGGATCCCAATTCACTTCTACGTTGTTCCGGGAATTAAACTGATTGTTAGGCTCGACCCACATCCGTACCACAGCATACCATCCAGAAGCCAATGGTATCGTCGACCGTTTTCACAGGCAACTTAAATCAGCCATCATTGCCACCTCTGCCAATTCAAATAGGGTGAACCGTCTTCCCATCATCCTCCTGTCTATTGGGAGTACTGTGAAAGAAGACCTTGGATGCTGCCCGGCGCAACTAGTATTTGGTATTACGCTAAGGCTACCGGGGGAAATGATTTTGGTCTCCCAAAAACATCCTCCCTTAGACCCACTATCCTATTCCGCCCGATTAAATGAGCATTTCCGAGTCGTCCGTCCAACACCCACCCGTTTGAATACCACACCCGTCTATATCCATAACGACTTGTCTACAAGTCCTTTCATTTTCGTTCGGGTGGATTCAGTGAAAAGACCCCTACAACCACCGTACGAAGGACCTTACAAAGTCCTAAAACGCAAACCAAAAATATTTCATTCTGGACTGCAACGGCAACAAGGACTCCGTCAGTATCGACCGTTTACAACCGGCTTACCTGGAGCGCCCTATTCCAAATTCCGCGGTTAGGATTCACCCGTCCGGTCCTACAACTCCAAAAACCGAAGAGCCTATACCAACCTCACCCCCCCCCCTTTCGGCCTCTGCAGTTCCCCCTTCTATCCCTCTTCAACCTGAACCCTATTACACTCGCTACGGCCGAAAAGTTACCTTCCCCTCCCGGCTGGCCGACTATGTACACTCGATATGTCGGAAGTATTCTTCCTCCTTTTAGGTTCCTACAAACACTCTAGAGGGGGAGAATTGTGGGACACGTCATAGCTTAATACGTCATCGCACGCCTGCACGCCAGGATTGGGAGGTGCGACCTTACAAACAGTGACCAATCATTAACCTCTGTTTTGTTAACCTAATCCGCCATCCTGATCATGATTAAGCTCCTTGCATGAGCACAATTGACGTTCTGTGTCTAGTGAATAAACGTATTGGTGATACGTCTCTTCTTCTATAAACTCGGTAATTGGGAGAATCTATCACAAAGGTTTCTGAAAATTTAGCCAGGTTTTACTAGCGTAGAAATCCGCTACAATATATCATTAACGTCCAGAGAATTAACGAAGGCATTAATGCATCAAATAGTTGGCTAAATCACCACATATATGGAAGAATATACCCATTAATAACATGATTTTGACTTAACTTTTAAAAGGTTTGATAACTACAGTTTTCTGTATGGTATAAGTCAGTTTTTGGTAACACAGTGGTTTGCAACAGAAAGATATCTTTAAAGGTGCAACTGAAAACAATTTACAAATATTGGGGTTGAAGGGTTATGCAACTCCTTCTAAAGCCTTAAGCTTCAAGTCATTATTTTTAGATCCTAAGTTGGGTATTGAGCAAAAGTATCTAAATTAAATTAGATAGAATAAAATGAAATGAGCTAAACGCTTGATTATTAAGGATTTTAAGAGATTATGGAGTTGGTTCTTCAGAAATTTCAGGTACCATTCCATAAAGTTTGTTTCCATAGCATTTATTAGTCATTTATTAGTGTCCCTTTCGAAATGTAAGTTCCTGTTATAGAGTTAATGAATACACTGCATTAGTGGTAACTGCTGGGGTTCGTCTCTTAACGGCAAAGGCATTTTGAAAACGGAATTTCCAAAATAAATCAGATTTTTCAGGTACGCTCGCTAGAATGGATTATGTTTATTTCTGGGTATTGTGCAGAGGGTTTTCCGACAATATTACTCCATTTATTTTAATAGTGTAAGGCATATTGATATCCAATTGACTTTCAGTAATTATCAAAATAAATTCAGAAAGATACACTACAAAATTTAAATCAATGGCGTTACAATTTTCACATATTTATTCATCAAGATTTCTATCTAGTTTGTATAGTAAACTAGATGATGAACTGTTTTAAAATAAACCATCATTTGAACTGCTCGATGGCATTATAATAGTTTAAAGCTGCCATTGGCCGCACCCTTTCTTTCAAGGTTATATGGACTGGTTCAGGATCGAGCCGTACTGTCGAAGATGGGCAAAGTAAAATCGAAGAAAATCTACAAAAACCCGAACAGATTTTTCGAGTTTTGGTTGTCAAATCTGGCAAGTGAAGCAAGGAAAAAGTCTGTAAAGCTAGCCAGTACTTATTCGAAGGTATAAATGAGAATGAAATCTGATTGCTCTAGGCTCTTTGTTCTTTAAAAAAGTATCCTATCAAATTATCATCTGGGAAAGAGTGTCAGCTCTTAAATGGGTTCGGTACAGCGATTTGTAATATTTTGGATGAACGATTGAAGGATTTTGCCGAAAGGAATTCGCTGTCTATACCCGAGGCTCTTGCATTGGGGAATTCCCTTACTCCTGCCGAACTTGCAAAAAAATGCCTTACAAGCGTAATGATTTTTGTAATAATAAAGCTGTAATATTTTTTAACTTATTCTACTTTTATTATCTTTATTTCAGTCGAACGGTAAAAAAACATTCATTTAACGATTTCACAATTTGGATGTAGAAATTCCACAACCGCCTCGAGGAAAACGCGCACAGACTCCAGAAATTTCGACATTAAATGAGGACTATACACATCTGGTAACTCTTTCTAACCAATATCCCCCTGCACAGCCAACTCGCATTTCCATTGCTAAGTCGTCAGAGAAAGCTTCCTCTGATATAATTCATGACGCAAATCTGTTGCCAGTTGACTATATACCTCAAGGTGCTTATGAAATAATTCTTTTGGTAGATGTCCGGGAGTCGTTTAAGTAAGAAATTTTCAGCTCTCTCGATTTATTATTATTGATTTTACTTTGCCGAATAAATATTTGTTAAATTTTAGCAAAGTGAAATTTGATGAAACAGTTCGTGCTCGTGGAGTTAAATGGGAAATTAGTAGCCTTCCTGTTGGTGACTTTGTGTGGCTTGCTCGGGAGATTGGAGGTAAGATCTACACATATTTCAAGCTTTATTTTCCTCGTGAATCTATATTTTCGTATTTGTTATGGATTTCTATAGACTAATTGTTTTGTTATTTGGATAAATCTCTTATTACCTTAAATTTCCCAGGTATGTTTTTTTTGTACGATGAAAGAAATTTGAGATTCAATTGGGTATTCACTTTTTTCGGTAGACTTATTTCAACAAATATGAGTAAAAAGCCCAAATTTTTTTAATGTCGTCTTCAACGCTTTAATAGGACAAATTATCCTATTTTTGAGCAATTCACTTTGTACTACTCATCTCTTGAATACTTTAAATCCATAATGCTGATCATTGGGAATACCAAAATCATGCACCCTGAGTTTATTTGCTTTATCTCCTAGCTTCATCGCAATGCTATGCTTTGAGTTACCTACGTATAACTCAGTAACTATAAAGTTATGTTTTATACTCATAGGTTATCAGTTTTGGGGAATAGAATAAAAGCCAATTCTCTTAAGAAAACGTTTTTTGACATTCTTCCATCATAGAGAAGTTTTCTGATGAGAAACCTTCATTTTTTCCTCACTATTTCACCCTCACAATTTGGCATAGGTAACTATTTATACCTTTTGCTCAGTAGGTATGCAAAAATGAAAGTCATCATTATAGACTACCAGGTTAGTATACTTAAAGACATATAAATTGACTGCATGCGAAATACCCCTTCAACAATTATTGCGTGATTGAAATATTTCATATTAGTCTACTAGCTCGGAGATCTTGCCGTTTGGGTGGGGGAGCTGATGGTAAGGGGTGTATTCTTAGATTTATGTCAAATGGCAGGCTTTATGAAAGTTATCCGAGGGAGGAACAGACAAAGTCACAGACAGTGGTGTGGTGGGGGAACAGAAGATTGATCCACAGATGTTGAAGAGACAGACAGACACGAAACTGGAGAAAAAGGTAAGGTGAGGTGAGTACTGTGTAAGTGGTGGAGTATGATACAATCGGGTGATGGTAGTTTGAAGTGAGAAATCAGCTGCCGGTTTATCGACTTTTGCACATGGGTATATGTTGCCTTGGGTTAACCACATGGAGGTAAGTCGGTCGCGTGTCCCGTATTCTAAGGGATTTTGTTCTCATTTATCTGTGCAGATTAATATTTAATTAGCTCATTTCTCCTGTATTATTGAGGCTCTACAACCCAGAGAGAGATCGTCTTGGGATTAGTAGTGGAAAGAAAGAGAGCTGATGATCTTGCCTCCAGTATCGTTGATGGTCGCTTTGTTGAGCAGAAGGTAACGACAAGTAACTTTCATATTTCCAACAGAAATGTTATATCTATCTTGTACTCTTTTTTAGTCAAGAATGCAGAGATTAGGCTTTCGAAAAATGTACATATTTGAAGAGTGCAGAAATATGTACAACCTGCGAATCTCTCATGAAACTCTTCTGCAAGCCATGATAAACTCTGAGGTAATGCTTTTAACCATCTTTTTATGGTTTGTAATACATAATTTAGCTTGTGGATGGATGCGATGTTGTAACTTGCTCAAACAGCGACCAGTGCACAGCTTATCTAACTTCGCTTACCAATTTTCTGACAAACGAATCCAAGAAAGTAAGTACTATGAGTACCATTCACATTTAGTGTATCCTTCCGAATGTATATATTGGCCTGTCTTTTGACGTAGTGCGATCTTGCAGTCTATTCAGGCGGGCGCAGACCCCAAAAAGATCCTAGCAGTGTTGATGGATTATGGGGGATTCCATGGTTGGAGTATGTTGATATGGGAAAGAAATCCCCAGAGTTACCTCTGCGAGAGCAATTCGGACTGCATCTACTTCAGATTCACTCTATTACTGGCGCCAAAGCAAAAGACATTGTGTCATTATTTCCAACTCCCAGAAGGTAAGCTCAGTTTCACTAATTCCTCATAATTTTTGTTTGATTTCTTCGATATTGGTCTTGTCTTGTCAGAGTGCCAAAATTCATATTCATGGGAAAGTGATTTAAATAGTTATTTATTGGGATAAGCAGCAAATTAAAATATGGAGCAAGAGATATAAAAAGATTACAAAGGGCGAGAGGGAGTGGCCATTTTTTTCTCGTTGGTCACAACCCTCCATCTCGAATGAGCGACAAGTAACAGAGTATACTTCTTGATCTAACCAATGGTCACACTAACCCCCAATAATCAACTCCCTATTGGTCCACTCCGCTCCCATGCTATTTGTGTACTGGGCTACCACTCTTGTGACTTGCAATTTCTAGCAGATAGTAGGGTCCTTTTTTCTGAATTAAAACTTTGGTATGTTATTTCTTCACTATCCCTTTACGATCCGGCAATGGCCCCTTAAGTATTAAGGTGCTTTTGATTTTAGTCTCTTCGAGGCGTATGACAGACGTTCTTCTGAAGACGAGAAAAAGGCACTAATTGTGGATGGCGTCGGATCTTCTAATCGAAAGTACGTTGCATCGATTAGTTTCTTGTTCTACTAAATCTGAGCTCGAAATTATTTCTGGAAGAACGAATTAAGTAGACGTTTAAAATTCCTGTTTTGTCAATGACTTTTTCCCCTTTTAGGTCAATAAATAAGAAAGCGAGTGAAATTATCTTCTACCTGTACAATACCCTGTGAAAATATTTTAATGCATTTTCTTTTTTATATATTTCTTACAATTTATTATAAATCTTTGAGTTGGGGGAAGTCGGCTCAAAAGGGGTGAAAAATAAATAAACTTACTGTAGGTAAAATATTTAAGTAAGTGTGAAAGGATTTACTAACTTTACTTAGAACGTATACGAATTGAGCTGTCAATAGTTTTAAATTAAGATTTTAACCTAAATATTTGTGCACCATAATTGTGCTTGAAGTGAGGTGTGCTCGGTTTTCTATTGGGGACAGGAGGTAGTTTGGTGTTCTTTTGCGTTGCTCAGCCGATGGAAAGCAGTTGGGCTCTCCAATACATCGAAATCTTATAAAATCCGACCTTTGCGGGGTCAGGGTATTAAAAACAGCATGGACTCTTCATTTGCCCATTAAAATAGACATGGCTTGGATGTCTCGATTCTGGCGATTTGTGTGTTTTTGCTACCTCTATTGTAGCTTTTTCACATTACAAATTGGGGGAGAGATCGAGGGTTGAACTATGTGGAACAGGGTGTATTGGGAGGATGGGATTGTTGAGATCATTTGTAAGGGAAAGTTGTAAGAAGGGGGGGGGGCGGATAGACAACCATGAAGGTTTGGAGAGATAGAGCAGCAAGCGTTGCAGATTGTGAAGGGGTTTCCTGTTATTCGTGTTTTGCAGTGTCTCATACAACTCAAGGGGAACCGCACTAAAAGGTGGCATCGGTCGATTAAATTTGATTATAAGATTGTTGAGTGGTCCATACTTTCATGAGCGATGGTTCACGAGAAGGTTCTGTTTTATGAATTGGAACAATGCGAGGACTTGGATTGGAATGCTGATAAGTCTTGGCTAATAGGAATCTGACTTGGAGTTGGCTTACTCCAGCATTAAGGAATGATATGTCTTGACCAATATTCGGAAATTCTGTAAGTGAAGAATCAACTGTGAACTGGCCAGTAATCGCGCCGCAAAACGCTTGGAGACTATGAAAGGTCGAAGCAATGGATGATTCATCCAACAAATTCAATGTAATATATTTGTTGCCTACAAATTAATAAAATAAACAAATAGAATTAGCACTAACAGAGAATGTATACACTGTAAAAAATCCATGTCACAAGAATAATGGATTCGAGAGGAGGAAGGAACAGGATTAAAATAGGCCTCCTATTTATCCTTTTAAGTTGGCCAATTGCAGTAGCCTTAGCCTCCTAAATAGCCCCAATGTCCACAAGTTCAAAAATAACGGGGGTCTAAGCTAATTTTCTACTTTTCCTCTTAATCATTTCAGTCAACGACCCACAATCTCGGTGCATTTTAACAATGAGGTAAAATTCGACAATAATTAAAACTAAATATTTCATCTAAACCGAGAGTTTGCTCGGGAGGTGGGAGGGTATATTTTTGGAAACGGTGCTTAGGAAGCTGTGGAATGGTAAAATACAAAATATGGAAGGCCTAGAACCAAATGCCTTTCAATTCCACTGAAAAAAGACTAGTAAAGAGATTAGTGAAAGTTAAAATGGTACATTGAAGAGTTTGGTTGGCGAGGTTGGAATGTGAAGAGTCAGTTTTTATCAAAAATTGTTTTAAGATTGTAAATTTGCTGAAGGGAACTAAATATGTGATTGAAGTAATTCCAACCCCAAACGTCAGTGCAGTCAAGGTGGTGGTTAACTTTTTTGCCTTCTTGTCTGGTAACCTCCATGCTTTGAAAGTTCTGAATATATTAAAATCGATTAGATGACTGGGCAGAAATCGAACAGGGTACATTAGAAGAATTTGAAGAATGAGGGTTAACTTCTGTTTATTTTTCAATGATACTTTATTTCATTATTCCTTTCCATTCACCCTGGAGTGTGAGAAGATCGTTGCGACAACGGACTTCAAAATCAGAGAAATATCCTCTTCTGACAGAGAGGAAAAGGCCCATATTCTGATCCCCATTGACTAAATCCCACTAAAATTTGCCCTCTGTTGAAGCTATGCATCCGCTTTCCCACTCAGTATATTTTATGACACCTTAATTAATCGACGGAACTATGCACCATAATTTACTAAATTCGAAGTACTTGTTTACGAGGTGCAGTTCGACTCGTGGACATACAACGTTAGAATGACGGCTAAAACCCGCAAACAACTTACAATCTGGGTAATCTAACGTGGAACCTCCCTAGTGAAAAACTAGAATTTCGACCACCTATTTATCACTTAGACCTATTCATTGCAATTAGCAGTTTAGACTAATGAGTGTGCTGATGGATATCGAACCCACGACGTACTTCACTGACAGGTTAGTTAACCGATGCACCACTAGAGTAAACTTTGTCGCAATTTCTAAATATTCAAATAAAAATAAATGATCATTAATTAGTGCATTCAAGTTCGCTTTCCAAATTTTAATTTGTTTTAATTTCAACTCTAGGAGAGCTAATTTGGATAGTCGTTAAGTGTAATGAGTAATAAATTCTTGGCACGATGCCATTTCCAAAGCCTTTAGTTAAATATTTTGAGTAAATTGTGATAATTTTATCAATCCAAATTACTTTTTATGAATGATTCTTAATTTGCTTTTATTTCTCAGAGAAACGCCCTTTAATTAATTGAAATCAAGCCAACTGTTAATTAATGTAAATAACAAGGAATATTGAATTAAAATAGGCAATTAGTCCACTGAAACTGAATGTTGGAAATTCGAGTTAAGCTTTCGAATTTGACATTATGAGACATTGCCATAATTTGAAGTGACCTTTGACTTTGTTCGGCCTAATTGCCACAACAGGTCGTATCAACAAGACACTTGACTGCTGAACGACTGTCATGCATACGGTCGACGAAATCAGTTACAACTCCATTTCAAAATAGCACAATTTCGCTGGTCCTCTCAGAGTTGTGACATGGAGCGGAATTATCCACTTTTAACTGCAATTTTCCTAAACTGCTCTCCTTCCTTCCTTCTAGGTCACTCTAGACATCTCTGATTCTTCCTTATTATTTTGGAAAATGCTATACATAGCCCTTGAGCTCTACGGCCTTAAAGGAGGTATCTGGTGGGGTTATTTAATTATTTATATCAAATAGCAGGCGTTTTGATGCCCTTTTGTTGACTTCAGGCTTCACAGAGGGGAAGGAACAACAAAGTGAAAAAAGTCGAGATGGGGGGGGGAACAGAAGAGTGTTTCAATGATGTAAAGAGACAGACACAAAAACAGAAAAAGGTGAAGTGAGTATTGTGGAAGAAGTCGAATATGACATACAGAGAGGTCATGGTAGCTTGAAGTCAGAAGTCATCTGCCGGTTGGTAGACTTTTTTGGCGTATGAGAATATCGAAAGCCGAGTGATAGACTTTTTTGCCGTAAGAAAATACGCTGCCCAGGGTGCACCACGTGGAGGTAAGTCTATCGCACACAAACTTCCGGTTAATAGACTTTTTACCGTATGAGTATACGTTTCCCAGGGTGCACCACGTGGAGGTAAGTCTATCGCACACCCAAGGGTGCACCACGTGGAGGTAAGTCTATCGCACACCCCCTAGTGGGATTATAGAAGTACTTCAATTGAGGGATAGAGCTGGAAGAATATCATATTTTCTCTTCTCTTATTTTGTAAATGCGAAATTCTCCAACAGGCTAATTACGTCAAGGTAGTAATAATAAGAATTTTTTCCTTTCTTTACTTTGAATCCGCTTTTCGCTCATTTAAAGTGATAATGTTTCAGTAATTTTCCCACGAGATTTGACTTGACATAATCGCTTGTAAATAATGGATTAGTATACTTATGTACAAATATTTTTCAATCCAAAATCTCGTATTTTTTAAAATGTCTTTTTCTGATCTTCTCTAACTTGGTTTCTAACCGAACTTTCGTCCAAGTATTTAGCTCTACTGAAACTGCCCACAACAAGAGTCATGTTCATCGTATAAAAGTTTTCACATATATAGCATTCAGTCACGGAAATTCTTGAACTGCATAAATAATGTTCCCACATTGCCTCAAAGTGCTCATGGGATTGGCTTGGTTAATTGACACATTGTCACTTTGAAATACTTATTCCACTTTCAGCCCGCTGAGAACATACTCTAAAATCCTTGCGATTTCTCACACCGATAGGATTGCAATTTTGTCTCAGAATTTTTTAAGTAAGCTCATACTATGAGCAGTATATGAGCACAAATCTCAATGAGCTTAATCACGAGTTTGGCAAATTAGACAATATTGGTTAACCAATTATAAATGTTTTCTCGAAAAAAACTAATATTTACACTGTGATCGAAAA